GTGCGGAGTTCTTCTCTTTAGGGCTGCGAGCGAACCCCCACCAGAACTGCGAGTTCCGATTTTGGGGGGCCAGGGAAATGTTGGAGCAGCCCTTGGCGCTGTGCCGGGGATTTGGGAATGCTGAGCCCCTAAAGGGCAGCGAGCACCCCGGAATCACAGAATGGGTTGGGACGGAAGGGAACTTCAGGATCATCGCATTCCAGCCCCCCTTTCCACTGTCCCGGGTTGTTCCAAGCCCGTCCAGCCTGGCGTTGGACACTTGCAGGGATGGGGCAGGAGGGATGTTCTGTGTTCCCCCCAGCTGAATAAAAAAGGATCAGGTGCAGGTTTGGGCTGTGCAGCCTCCTGATTTCTCCCCACCTTTCCAACTCGCCCTTCATTTTCTCTACCCCTTTATCAGCTGCACCTGGTCCTGCGTTAGATCCTGAACTCCCAAGTGTGCAGGTGGACCTGATCTCCACACTGAGGCCACCCTGCTGTGGCATTTTGGGAAGGATGAGTGTTCTGTTGGACCTACACCATGCTCAGGACTTGTTTTTCTCACACTGCAGCAGCACACGTTATTTGGGATGAGAAGGATGCCCAAGCCTGCCCAGCTCTGTGGCCAAAACTCAGCTGTGTCCTGGCTGTGAATCCTTTGCCCTTCTTGATGCAAGGTGACAAAACACTTGGCTGAAAGCAAGAGATTCATTTTTTTCCCTGCAAATTGGCCATTTCCCATTTTTTTGGCCCAGCCCTGAAGCAGACTGATCCAAGCAGAGCTAAAGGAAGGGATGTGCTGTCAAAATAACAAGCAAGCACAAGCCAAATGCCAGACTCCTCTTCACTGAGGCAGACTCAGCTGAGAGGTCGCTGGCAACTGGCACTTTTCCTTGGAGAAACAGAAATAATCCTGCAGCACCCAGCAGTAGGGCAAGACTGGAGGTGAAAAATGAGAATTTAGACTCCGATCCAAGCAAGGAGCAGCACAGCAGAGGAGCTGTGGGGTTGAGGTACAGGCAGCTGTCCTGGCAGCCCTTTGCCAAGTGCTTCTCCTTCCAGCACTGCTGACAGGAGAGATTGCAGAATCACAAGCCTGAGAGCTGTGATGACCTTAAATCCTGATGAAAATCTCTCCTGTGGGAGCATTTTATTTGCTGCCTGGTTTAGGATGTGTTTTCCTGCAGGCTTGGGGTGGATGTACAGGAGGGGATGGGACAGATGCAGATATTCCAAGGCAATAATAAAGTCTGGTGCCTTTGCCAAACTTCAAACATCCTTGGTTTTGTGCCTAAGGATTGCCTTTTAACTTCAGCAGAAAGAGTTCAGCCCTTTGTAAGATCAAGGGGAAAATCTTTTTTTCTGGCACCAAGAGGAAATACTCTTCAAACTCGTGAGGTTCCAGAAATCCTGCAGATGCTCGCAGCACCAGCCAGTCAGTTCCTCACAGCATCCATTTGCTGAGGAAAATGCCTCTGAAAAGAGACAGAGTTTGCACATTTCCAGAATATTTCTGTGACTTGGCCAGTTGAATCTGACACAGGATCCTGCCAGGATGCAGGGCTGGGGAGGGATTTGTTCTGCAGCCACTCCAAGCAGCTGTGAGCACAAGGACAAAGCAAATATACACACAAGGACCACCTTTGCCCCCTGAAAGCCGCACTTTGGCTGCTTAGGGCCGGGCAGTTTCAAAGAAAAGCCACTGAAGGAAACTGACCATGAATTTCCATGCAGCCTCTAGGAAAACAGATGCAGTTCAGGACAGGGAAGGTTGGTTTCAGATTTATAAGCTCCTTGAACGCTCAAAGCTATTTTAAGTATCTCCCTTGGCATGGGAGGGAATTCTGCTGGCTCATTCCTCACCTTTCCACCAGCTTCACTTCCAAAGGATGCAGCTGTAAAGGGCTCCTGAAAACCCCTGGTGACACTCCCTGTGTGTGACTCCCTGTTTGAGCTGCTCCTTTAGGACCTGGCTCAGCTCTAAACCAGGCTGAGTTTCAGCATTTCATGCCACATCCTGAAAGTGTTTTGTTACATGCTCATGGAAGGGAGAATCCCTCCAGAAGGGACATTTGTTTCCTGGCAGCTCAGAGGGGCATCAAGGCAAATGCTCACAGGAGTCTCTGCTCTGGTCTTTGGTTGGGATGAAGGGGGAGGGAGATGTTCCTACAAGAGTGGGATCAGGAGGAATGGGCACCAGCCTCCTCCAATAAAAAAGTGCTGTTCTATCCCCTCTGTGGGCAGAAAAAATCCCGGCTGGGGCAGCCCTGGAGCAGCCCGGGCAGGGAAGGAAGCGAGCAGAGGGACACAGCATTGTTCTGCCCCTGCAGCTCCTGGGGAATGCAGGGCAAACAGGAGGGAGCTCCGTGCTTTCCTGTGTTTGTGCTGCCAGTGTTTTCATTAAGGTCCATTTTCCTACCTCTTTCTGCAAGGCCTTTGTGCCTCTAATAAGTGCAAGGAAGGTGTTGATTGTAAGCGTCCCCTCAGGCATAATTATTTTACCATAATAGCATTTACAGGGAGGGCTTGCAGAGCCATTTTCCTGTTACATCCTCTGTATTTCAACCTCTCTTTCACTTTTTTTTGCCTCCTCGAGCTACCCCAACAAGCCCTTGCAAGGTCTCCATCCCTGCAGCAGAAGGCATGGTGAACTGGTGAGCCCTAAAGAGATAGCTGAGGGTGAAAATAGGAATATTTGATGTTACCCAGCAGCTGGAAATGAAGATATCTTCTGTCCACCAAGTCAGGAAACACTGTTTGCACAATAGCTGTGTGTGCCTGCTCTGGGGGAGTTACCAGCAACCCCTTGCAGGAGATAAGAGGGATGCACATAAACAGGAGGAAAGTCAGGGGCACGGATCATTGGAGCAGGTAAATCAGGCCCCTGTCACCCTCAGCATCCCCTGATGACTGCACTGAACTCCTGCAGTGTGGGGAAGGAAATAGGGATGGCTCCGATATAACAGGTAAATAAATAAGAAATAAATACAATACATATAAAATTCAGAGGACATGGAGGAGCCAGGAGCAGTTTTTGGGGTGGTCAAGGACAGTCACTGCCACAAGTGACTGAGCTGGTGACAGAACTTGGTCCTGTATCCCAAGCGTGTGACCTTTTATGTGCTGGCATTTTTCACATTAAATACACAGTTGGAAAGAATGAAGCTAGCCATAACCTCCAGCTCCAGCTCTCAGTATCAAGCTTAGGATAAACACAAATTTCCTGTGGAAAAAAGAAAAACCCACAGTAAAAAATCATGTTGATGTGGTACTTCACAGTACGGTTTAGGGTCATGGTGAGATTTGGTCAAAGATTAAATCTGATTATCTTGGAGGTCTTTTCCAGCCTTAATGATTCCATGAGTCCAGATATATTGTGAGAACTTCAGGGCATCTCTGAACTAACTGGTTTTAAACTAAACTTTGTTTAGCAGCATTTTCCAGTGCAGTCCACTTCATAAACAAATGCAGCTGACACAGCTAGGATGGAAATGTATTTCTCATTATGTGGTGCAAGACTTCCCTGCCCTGTGAGAAGGAGCCTTACCAAAACATGCTTCTGATAACATCTGACCAGAAGAGTCAGAGAGGATGAGTGTGGAGGCCAAACCTTGCTTGCACCAAAATCCCAGTGGGATTTGTGGAGGAGCTGCCATCCCATCCACCCTGGCAGGCAAATCCCAGCGCTCTCCCTGGCTGCCCCAGGCACACAGGGCTGCTTTGTTCCCTCTGCTCCCTGCCCACCCAGCCCTCTTCTCTTCCCTTCCCAACACAATCATCAGAGCCTGCTGGCTGAGCCCTTTGTTCTGTGCCTGCACAGGAAGGTCTGGGCTCGTGGTTCACATTCCTGGTGCCAGCACGGGATGATCTTTATTGACAAACCCATTATTGATCCAGCTCCCTGCAGGAGGACTTTCACCCGCTCCAGCTCTGGCCATTGCTGTGGATTTGCAGGTGATGTTTGGATACAAACACAGATAGGCTCACAATCCAACCCTTCAGGGATGTGCCCTACTCCAGTTAATATTAAACACCTTTGGAGATATCTCTGCATTTCTCCAGGCTGGGAGGAACCTGCTGCATTCTTCTCATAGCTTCTTTGCAGGTACTGAAATAAAATCCCTGACCTGGATCCCTGAACAAAGCCCCTGTTATTCAGCCAGGTCAGGGAGAGCAGCAGTTTTCTGATCCTCTCCATCCCAGAGTTTTCTTGGATGGAGATGTGGGGTTTGACTCCATCACAGGGGATGGAAAACCCATCCCAGCCTCAGCTCAGCCTGCCTGAGATGGAGCATGTGTGCACAAACACTGCTGAGATTAAACCCCCAGAGTTCAAAACCTCACTGGCTGAAAAATGTTATGTGAATCCATTCCCCTCTATTTCTAATAAAACAACAATTTTTAATTTAAAAAACAGCAAATTTTCTTCCCATTACAATATAATGTTGTTCTACACAATGCTGTTCCAGCAGTTTATTTAAATTTCTACAAGTTTAATCTGTAAATTGCTTTTTGATGGGTGAAGCCCAGCACCTGCACTCAGCTTTCCAAGCATCAGTAACTGTACACAAACACCTTTCTCTGTTAAAGCCATTTTGGGGTGTCTTTGGCCCAGGAGGGATTTGTTCACTTGGAAAGATGAATCCTCCTTGCACAACACCAGGTGAGCAGCTTACAACAGCCACGGATTCAGAGATCCATGGAATATTCTGAGAGCAGCCAGGCCTGCTCCCAGCCTGTGGTGAGAGCAGGGCTGGGCAAAGCAGCCCCAGAACACCCCACATTGCTGGGATGGGTGTGTGGGCTGCACCCCCAGCTGCAGGGACAAGCCCCTGTCTGGGGATGGATTTTCCAGCCTCAAAGATGGAAAGCATTCTGCCCTCATCTGCTGGAGGACAGAATCCACCAGCAGGTGATGCTTCGTGCTGGGCTCCATGGAGGAGAGGTGAGGGTAAGCAAGGCCTGAATGTCCTGCCCGCCTTTCTCCAAATGAATCCAAACCACCTCCCAAGCCAGGCCTGGAGCACTCTGAAGATGTCAAAGCCCACACAAAAATCCTTCATCCCACCAGGTTTGGGAAAGCCCCCAAAATGCTCATTTGGTCCATTTCAGTTCAGCTCCTGGGTCCCAGGCCAGGGATGTGCTGCCATCCAGGAGGTTTCACAGCCCAGAACCTGTTGGGCTCGTCTTGCTCCAGCTTCCTGCTCCACCTGGTCCCAGGAGGAGACATTCCAGCCAGGCAGCCTCCTCAGCTGCATGGAGAGCAGAGAAACCCTTCCAGCCTTTGCTCCTGGGCCAGGCCTGCCCTGGGTTCTGCTGGATTTACCTTCAGCTTCCTCTCCTCTTCCTGGCCTTGGAGGCCTCTCCCTGCTCCAAAGCTCTCTGGAGTTTCTGATGCTGCAAATGCACCTCTTCATCCTCCTGCTGCCAACCCAGCCCAGAAGTTGCATTTCCCACTCCAAAACCTCAGCTGGGGCCAAGGTCCACCCCAAAAATGTCCTCATTCTTTGACCCCATGCAGGGACCAGCACCAACGCCCTCATTTCCAGCAGCACAGCAGAGGCAGAGCCAGGGAATCCCCACTCCTCAGGGCAGATTTCCCCTCCTGCTTTGTGGGACAGGCCAGAGAGGCCTCGAGGTGTTTGCTGTGACCCTGAGGTGACGTCTGGCCTGGAAAGGTCACACCCAAGACACTTGGCAGTGCTTCCCCTCCGAGCCCAGCAGCCACCAGCAAGCTGGGCTGTAATGAGGAGAGCAAATATTATCCTCCAGAGGTGTCAGCAGCTGCTGCTGCTTTGAAATGCTGGGAGAAAAGCCTCCTTGAATAGTTGGGATTCCTCCCAGCAGCACAGGGATGAGAGGAATAATATTTGGGAGAGGAACACACCCCGAATGAGGGAGTCTGGGTGAGGGTGGGAAGCAGAGAGCAGCCGGCATCTCCCGGCCACAGATGGTTCCCATCAAGGGGAATTTTTTTCTTGTTAATCCCAAAACAAGCTCGAGATGTATTTTTATTTCAGTGTTAAGATGAGAGAAAAAGAAAGTCTGACATGACCCCCTGTTTTTCTGGCCTCACTCCCTGCTCAGCCTCTGCTCTGAGCAAGCACAGAAAATTCAGTTCATGTCAAAGGCAGGGACTCTGAGAACAGAAAATCCTGGGGTGGTTCTTCCAGCTCTTCTTGACCTGGGAATTCATCCCATTCCAGCTGGAAATGGAGGTAAAAATCTAAAGCCTGGGTGTGTATCTGAAGTATCCTGTGGTGTTCTCTGGGGTTCATCTAGGCACAGAGGAAAACAAGGGGCCTGTGGGTGTCAGGGAGGGTGTTACCCTTTTAAATCTTAAACCAGGGATGGACTCCTGAGCCAATCCACTCCCAAAGCCTCCATGAGCTCAGGAGCATCTCTAGCTCAAAAAAGCCCCAAAATAGTGATAAAAATTGCAATCAGTGGGAGGACTGGGAATTCATTCTCCTCAAAAGCCCTGCTTAGAGAACTTGCCTGGCATTCCTCCATGGCCTCCCTGGCTGGTGCATGCCCTGCTTCCACAAACCTGCTCTGAGGGAGCTGCCAAGAGGAACCTCTGGGCATGTCCCAGGAAATTTCCAAGGACAGCCATGGGTTGGAAATGTGGCACCCCTCCCAAATAACCAGCTGTGGGCCATCTGAAAGGATTCACATGGAAGCAGGGCCAGGAAATAACAACTTCTCATGGGGTGACACTTGTGGTCCATGGTGGTGGCCCCACAAGGTGGTGACCTCTCAATGGGAATTTTCTTTCAGACAGAACTTCCTGGGACATTTACACCCCCAGATGAGGCTGGGCATCCCCCCCTCCTCTCTGGCAACTCCCTGGAGTGACTCAGGATGTGCAAACACTGACTCATCCCAACGTCCCAGGAGCACTGAGCCTCCCACACACCAAGACAGGGTGGTGGGAGAAGGGAAAGGCTGCACTCAGCCTCCCCTGTGCCCTGGGGGAGGCTGCAGATGCATCAGCAAGGTGGGGCAGGCTGGGGCACAGGGATGCACAGAGATAAGGGCACCCTGCTGTGGGAGCTGCCCAGTATGGGAAAAATGGATTGGGAGGCTCAGGACTGGTTTAGGAAGGAGGGTTTGAAGAGCTGAGGAAGAGGATCAGGAAACCCAGGGTTTGTGTCTGGGCAGCTGCAAAGGGTGGTGGTACTTGCAAGGTCAGCTTGGCTGCACAAATCCTGGATTTCATCAGGGTGTGATTTTTCCATACAAGGGTTAAAATGTGTGGATCCTGCAGCAAACAGCAGCACTGAAAAAGCTGCCAAGGTGTCCAGTGTGTGACCACCCACTGCAAATCCTGCTGGAAAACTGGAGCAACCTGGATCTGCTCGCCAGGGATGAGGTGGATGGTTTTCCTGGAGATCTGAAATTTAAATGGACATTCAGATGCATAATTGGCCATCCTACAAAATCTGTTTGCTCACACCACTGCACACTGTGGGGACAGAGCTCCCTGACGTGTTTTCTGTGTGAGCCAGAGCACATCTGGCATTTCTCCTCCCTCAGTCCTGGGAAATGGTCAAGCCCAACCCTTGACCCTGCACAGACACCCCAACAATGCCACCCTGGGCACTCCTGGGAGTTCCTGGAGCTCTGTGGACATTTCCTGGGGAGCCTGGGCAGTGCCAGCACCTCTGGGGGAAGAACCTCTCCCTAAATCCAACCTGACCCTGCTCTGGCACAGCTCCAGCTGCTCCCAGGGTCCTTTCCCTGCCATTCCAGGGGGGCAGGATGGAGCTGGGACACATCTCCAGGTGACACCTGAGGGACTGAGGGCTCCTGAGTGTTCTCCCTTCTCAGCAGAAGCAGAAGGGATGTGAGATGTGACATCCCTGCCCATTAAAGATTACAGCCCAGCCAGGCCACAAGGATTGCAGGAGTCAATCCCATTTAAGCCCTTCTATTTAAAGAAATAAACTACCCAGGAAAAAAGCAGCCTAAGATTAGAAACACACAGGATTTCCTCAAATTCCAGCCATCAGCCCCAGATTCAGCTCAATGGGGTGGTTTGTTATTCTCCCAGAGCATGAATCCTGCACCCCAGCAAAATTTGGATCATGCTGTGCAGCTCCATCACAGGCCCAAAACTTCCTCTCTGCCTAAACCATCTCCAGTGTTCCCTGATTAAAAATAGTTTTTTCAGGCAGGAGAGTTTTGGCTTTTTGCACAAGCTGGGGATGTTTCCTGAAAATTCCACGCTGCTCAGGAGGATGCTCCTGTGCAGGAGAACCTTTCAGAAAATGTAATGCTAAGCAGGGTGGGAAGCAGAAATAATTTTGTTTTCTTGTTTTGGGTAGGAAAAGAACTCAGAGACACCCAGGGACACCTTCCACTGTCCCAGCTGCTCCAAGCCCTGTCCAGCCTGGCCTGGGGCACTGCCAGGGATCCAGAGACAGCCACAACTGCTCTGGGCACCTGTGCCAGGCTGTCACCTCCCTCACAGGGAGGAAATTCTTGCCAATATCTAATCTAAAATCTCTCCCCTCATTTTAAATGACACAAAGGATGTGGGTAAAGCAGACAAAGTCACCCTGTGTTTTGTGCCTCACCAGCCAGGAATTGAGAACTCATTTGGGATTTGGCCCTGCTGCTTCTCCCTAAACTGGGTGAAACTCCAGCCTAACTTACCAACTCCGGCCTGTCCCTAAAGGGATCCCAAAGGAATGAGGGATCCCTTCTGCCCCAGCACTGCAGCAGGATGGCAGCAGCTGCTTTTTCCAGGCATAGCACGAGGGGGTGACTCATTCCTGGCAGGAATTTCCCTCTCCCCCAGCCCCTCCTGCCCCTCTCTCTGCCTGGAGATTTTCCCCCACAGCAACAAGGGGTGAGGGCAGCTTGAGGTCAGCCAAGAAGAGCAGAGACCTTCCCTGCATCCCCTGAATTCAGCTGGGGAAGTGTCCAAGAGGTGCCCACTCCCTCCCAGCTGTGTGTTTTGGGAAGGAGGGGAGGGGAATTCTGGAATACTGGGCAGAGCTGTCCCATCAGGCATCAAAAGAGACACATCTCATGTGCCAGTTGTCCCTGTGGTGGCCCTGAGGTGCAGCCAGGGCTGGGCAGGGCACGTGAGGGAGCTCAGCTGCATGTGCACCAACAGGTCCAGCAGGAGCCATCCAGGATGACCACACAGCCAGGTAGCCCATGATTCATGGCACAACCATCTGCTGAAGCTGCAAGCACTCACTTCCCACCTCCAGCTCTCCTCCAGGCCAGGTGGCAAAGGCACAGGGGCAGAAGGTGCCCCTTGCCATGGCCACCAAGCAGGAGCTGCCACGAGACCTGAACTCAGCTCCACACCACAGCTCTATGGGATTCAGGAGGCCCAGGGTAGCCTTGGGGACACACATCAATTTCTCAGGGTACAGAACCTGGAATGAGATCTTGGAAAGCTGGAGATGGAAGGAGACAGTCCAAAGGAGGACCTGGTTTTCAGGAAAATGACAGAGAATCACAGACTGGTTTGGGCTGAAGGAACCTTAAAGCTTGCCCAGTTTCATGGGCAGGGACACCTCCCACTGTCCCAGGTTGCTCCAAGCCCTGTCCAACCTGGCTTTGGGCACTTCCAGGGACTCAGGGGCAGCCACAGCTGCTCTGGGCACCCTGTGCCAGGGCCTGCTCACCTTTACAGCCAAGAATTCCTTCCAAATATCCCATTTAAATCCACCCTCATGCTACAAATGCAGGAGCTCAGGATACAGGAAGGGCAAAGATGTGCCCCCCTCTCCAGGTGTGCTTTTCCTTCACCAGTTATCCCAAACACACCAAGTCTCCCTTTTTTCCCCCCACTCTGGGCAGCCACAGCTTGGCCACCAGTGGAAAATGATTCTTTGAGTGAGTGTGGCAGGATCAGCTGACTGGGCTGGCTGCAGATCTCGTGGTCACACAGCTCTAGATGTGCAGCAGTGCCTGCCTAAGCCTTTCCGTGGAGAGGGGAGCTGGCAGCGTGCAAATAAATCCTTGGGAAGCACAAGGGGTTGGAGACAGAACAGGACTCCCCAAGGGAGACACAGGGGGTGCAGAGAGGGTGGGCAAAGCACAGATGGAGCATCACCAGCTCTGTGCTTCCCTTGGTTATCCCAGTGCAAGGGGCTCTGGGCAATCCCTGAGTTACTGTGCAGAGATTTTCCTCGCTGCTGGCAATTGCAAATTCAGGAGAGGAGGGGATCTGAGCAGGAGCTGCTGCTGAGGTTTCAAACCAAATATCCATCCCCTGAGCAGGAATGCTCTGTGTCAGACCTGTAGGGGTTTTTCAGGTGGATCAGTGGGGTTTGCTGGCACTGGCACCAGCACCACTGGGGCTGTCAGCTCTGATCATGCACAGCTCGAGGCTTGCATGATGAGAACAGGCTTGGGCTCCATCCAGCTCAGATCCAGTTAATTAAAGGAAATAAAACACTTCCCTACAAGCCAAACCCCCTTTTCTGGGTGCTGTTTACTGGGAGGCTGCAGTTCTGGACCCTGCCAAAGGGATTGCCTGCTGCTTGTGCACACTGGCACATCCCTGGGGACACATGGACATGGCCCTGAAACAGAGCAGCTGTGGCTGCCCCTGGGTCCCTGGCAGCGTCCCAGGCCAGGCTGGACAGGGCTTGGAGCAGCCTGGGACAGTGGGAGGTGTCCCTGCCATGGCAGGGGTGGCACTGAAGCTTTAAGGCTGACCCAAACCATTCTGTGCCATAATGATTGTGTGATTTTATATGAGAGCTGCTCTGAGTCACTCCCATCCCCACAGTCCTTCTGCCAAGATTCTCCTGCAGATCCTTGTCTCTCTTTCCTTCCCTGGAAAGAGAGAGCCAAGGAAAGATTCCTGGCATGGGAAAGAGGAGACCAGTTCACACAGTCCTCATGGCAATTGGGATTTGGGCCGCCTGGAAAACCCTCTTCAGGAGAAGAGGATCCTGCAGGTCCCTCAAAGAGAAGGAGAAGGACTCCCTCTCTCTGCTCCCAGGCAGAATAGCAACTCTGAAACTGAAACTTGGAAAGACACAAGGAATCTCCTGGCTGGCATGCTGCACCCATGCCATGCTCCCACAGTTTGGGGTTATCTATACTACCATCCTATTTCTAGTGATAAATCTAATCAATCACAGTTGAAATTCTATTTGGCAGAGTGTGAAATATGCTAAGTTCCCCTTCCAGGCCAGGTAGGACAGGGCGTGGAGCAACCTGGCATAGGAGAAGGTGTCCCTGCCCATGGCAGGGGGTGGCACTGGGTGATCTTTAGGTCCTTTCCAACCCAAAACAAGAAAAAACAACAAAGCAATAATGTCAGGGGTTTCTACATCCATCTTTGCTTCCCCTTTTCCCTCCTGACCATGCTAGCCTTGTTACTCCTCTTAGCTCTGCTTTTCTCCTTCCATCAGGGAGGACTGGCCTGGAGGAGCTTCATCCCCAGGGCAAGTGGAAGGGAAATCACCCTTCCCTGGCAGAGGGGGCTCCAGGACGCACTGCTGGGGCACATCCCTGGTCTGTGCGGGGCAGACCGAGCCCTTCCTGCTGCTCCTCCCGGGACTGGTGCCTGGGCAAGGCTGGAGCCAGCCCGGGATGGTGCCGGTGCCGGATCCGGGCAGCGGGGGGAGCAGCGAGACCGGGACACGGGACAGGAACGGACGGACACGGGATGTCCTGCCCGCCTGGGGAGAGATCCCTGCATTCCTGGGGCTCAGGGATGTCTGCAGCTGGGTAGGATCCTGGCTGCTCCCTGAGGAACCCCAAAAGGGGAGCAGTCTCTGCAGAGGAAGCTGTGCCCAGGCCTGGTGTGGGTGGGAGTCCTGCAGAGCCCTCACTCGATCTCTGTGCTCCCAGCTCTCTGCAGCTCCTGAATCCCAGCCAGCCTCTCTCTGTCTCCACTATTTTTAAATCCATCTATTTCCGCTGGTCTCCCTGCTTTGGTGCAGCCTTTTCCACACTGACACTTGTGCAGCCCAGAAATCCTAAATATTCTCCTTCTCCCAAGAGTTTAGGCACCAGCTGCAGTGGGGAGCAGGGGAGCTCAGGGCCAGCAGTGCTGTTTGTTGTGGGTTCATGGCACTTTCTGAAGCATGGGAAACTCATGGCCACAGGCACACAGAGCCAGAAGTGAATTCCCAGAGCAGGATTCAGGGCGTGGGATTGCAGACAGAAACCCTGGAGGAGGTTCCTCACCCTGATCCCACCCTCCTGCTGCCCCAGGGATGCAGGGCTGGCACCAAGGCACACAGTTATCTGGGATTTTCCAGCTAATGGGACCACACAGGTGATGAGCACCTCTGGAGTGCATGGTGCCATGAGCCCAGTGCTTCCATTGCCCATAAGGATTTGTCTGCACTGACTCTACACCAGCCCTGTGGTGCCCAAGATTCCTGCAGGGCTTTTTGGGTGTCCCCCCACCCTGCCCCACTTCATACCTGCTTCCACAGGGTGACCATGCACCTTCCTGCAAATGCCAGGGAAGTCAGGAAAGCTTCAGGCAGTGATGAATTGTTGGATTCATGGCACGTGGTGAATCAGAGCCCAGAGTGGATTCTTTGTGCACCCCACATTTGATGAACTTGCCTCCAGAAGATCCAATTCTATTAACTGGAATTAGGGAGAAAATCATAGTTAAATTGTTAATTCATCAAGACAAATGCATTCACAGTCACTGAAGATATTTCTGAATGCGGGGAGGTCGATTTGGAAAATGAAGACAATTCCACAATGAACAAATTGCAGTTTCTCCATTATTTTGCATCTCCAGCACACAGCTTTGTCATTGGAAACTACAACAACCAGAACTGGGCATTCCATATCCAACAGAAACCCTGGCAAGTTCAGGATTTGAATGTTTCCCTCCCATTGAACTGCAGCCATGACTGCAACCTGAAATGTTCAAAAATTCAGGAGGTGCCTTAAGTTCTTTGCTGCTGCTTCTCTGTGTTCAGGCAGCAAAGGAGCTTGAAACAATTCCCAACTGGATGGGGCTAAGGCAGCTCCATGCAGGAGAGGAGGAGGGCAGTAAGAGGCTTTGATTCACACATGTCTGTAACCACAGCATCCCTGGATCCCAAACCAGGAGTGATCCCAGCGGGATTCAGGTCTTGACGTCAAAGCCAACAGTCCAGAAGTGCAAATGATTTCAGAGACTGAATCCAAGCTGTTTGTGCACAGCTGGGAAACATCCAGCACCTTCCTGAAGGGAATCAGGAGTGAAACAAGGATCCTCATTCATCCAAACCTCCCACCCCACCTCTCCCAAGCACCTCTGCCCCAGGCTGAACAAGAGCCCTTCTGTACAAAGCCAAATTCAGCAGCTCTGATGCCTCCTCCAGTGCTGGCAACAGCCTGTCAGAGCCAGGGACATGCAGGAGATGTTCAGTGTGCTGAGTGCTGGGCCAGGAGCTTGGAGTGAGCAGAGAGAGGCAGCTCCTGCATCCCTTCCCACTGTGGGAAGCACAGTTTGGGCATCCACGTGGGAGAAAGGCATCAATCATGGCCCCACAGGCTACAAAAACACAAAGCAGAGCCTGTTCCTGCCTGGGGTTTGCAGCACAGTAACCAGGAGCAGGCAGAGAAGAGAAGGATAAAGAGGCTGCTCTGTAATTCCAGAGGACCCTTGGCCATGAGATCCACCTCTGCTGGATGAGATTGGAGTTGGGTGGGATTGGGATAGTCCCACACAGAGCAGCTCCACATCCTGGGGTCCCAGCCCTCAGCAGAGAGCTGTGCAGAGAGGGAGAAGATGCCTCTGAGACTGCCTCTCAAGTCCTCAGCATCCTTGTGGAGAGGAAAGCAGCACACACCAGCCTGGCTCTGACTGTGCCCCAAACTCACCTTCCACGCCTCAGTCTCCCCAGGTTTTGCAGGAGATAATCAGCCTTGCCCAAGTTCCTGCAATCCTGGGCCATCTGCAGATGCAGCTCTGGTGTGATGAGTCAGATGTGCCTCGTGTGACTCAGCTGGCAGATCCCATCCAACAGCCACGCAGCTTCCCTTGCTCCAGGATCCATATCTGCTGTTCTTACTGCCAAGTGCATGACTGCTCCCAAAACTAAACATGCCTGTGACTTTCTAAATGCACCAGGAAAAGGCCTTTCCAGCTTCATTCTGAAACAGAGAAAAGTTCACTGCACCATCCACAACTTTCCTCCCTGCAAGTTACAAAAGACAGAAAACGGAAAACAGAAAATGGGTTTTGTTTCTAAAATTAACGTCCCCGAGGCAGGAATGTGGCTCTGCAACACCAGGAGCTGTGGCAGGACAGGGATGTGACCCTGGAAAAGTCTCTAATGTGTGGATGCAGCCCAGTGGCAGCTGGAATAAAATGTGAGTGGCTCCTTCTGAAGCTCTCAAGAGCGAGTGTCGCTCTGCAAGAATGCAGCAGGGTTGCATCATGTGGGTTCCTTGAATCTTCCACAAATTTGCCCCTTCTTCCTTGCCACATTTTCATGGGGAATCTATAAAGGAGCTGGGAAAAACACACTGCAATTTTCTGCTGGCAGGAATATTCAGGCTAAGTGGGGTTTCATCACACAGGGAAGAAATCACTTTGTTCTCTGGCCTTGGAGATCCATCCTGAAATACATCCTGGCCTCTTGCAGACACACCCTAAATTTCCATGTTGTGGGTTAAGCCCCCTGACCCAATCTGGACCTATGGAAAAGGACATTTACCTCAAAGGTGGGTGCATTTTGTCACCCCAAGCAAAGCTGTTCAAATCTGGACACAAACTGGTTTGGTCCCATCAGACCAGTATAACATCCCCAGGGTTGGGACAACCATGGTCCTTGGAAACTGGGGAAGGATGAAACCCCTCTTCCTGTTTGGTTTTACACTAAAGCAGAGATTTCAGATTAGATCTTGGGAAGGAATTGCCCCCTACGAGGGTGGGCAGGCCCTGGCACAGGGTGCCCAGAGAAGCTCTGGCTGCCCCTGGATCCCTGAAGTGTCCAAGGTCAGGATGGACAGGGCTGGGAGCAGCCTGAGATAGTGGGAGATGTCTCTGCCATGGCAGAGGTGGCACTGGATGGGCTTTAACATTACTTCCAACCCAAACCAGTCTGGGGTCCTGTGATTCCTGCTGTATCTCTCTGGGCACCTTTTGTGCTGCCTCTGCAAGAGCAGAACAGACAAAGAGGCTGCCAAGGCCCCTCCTAAGCATCCCTTTGCTTACACATGCTCAGCACTTGGCTGAGGAGGAGAGTGCACACTGTTTGTTCCTGCTGGGCCCCTGCCCAGCGTGTCCTTCCTGGGATTCATCCCTCCCCTCCTCCTTTCCTGCCTTCCAACTGCTGCACCAACCCCTCAAGGCAGCAAAGCCAGCAGCCCCAGCCCTGTCCTGCACTCAGCCCCCTCCTTCCTCTGCCATCAGCAGTGGCAGTTTTAGGATTGGGCTTCTTGAGAACCTGATTCCCAACAAAGAAAGGACTTTTAGGGACAGCAGCAGGACTGGGGGGACAGGCAGTTGTGTGACACCCTTGCCCACACAGCACAGGCTGGGCCCACCCCCCTCCAGCCTGAGCAGTGCTGTGCTGGAAGCACAAGATTGGCTGCTGAGGATCCCTCTGCAGGCCAGGCTCGGGTTTAGGGGCGGTTCTGCTCCCTCAGCTGGCTCCAGAATAACCTCTTTCCTTTTACATCCCAGCTTCCTGAGGGGGGAGCGTGTGGGGCTGAGCCTCCTCGCAGCTTCCACCAAGCGTGAGGGCAGGCAGAGCTCAGACCTCTCACATTCCCATATGCTCCTGGAAAATGCCAGGAAGAGATGAGGGAGAGCTCTCTGCAGCTTTTAACAGGAGAGCTGCCCCACCACAATTCCACTCTGAGCACAGCAGATCAATCACCTGAGCCTTCTCTGCCTGTGTTTTGTAATAAAGGGTGAAAAGCTGGAATTGGACATTCCTTGCTGCCTGTTTCCAGGGAGGAAATGCAGCATCCCAGGATGTTTCATGTCCCAAAGCCCTGGTGCTCTCACATCCTGTCCTTGAGAGGCCCCTGAACCCGTGGGACTGATGTGGCTGACAAACCAAGCACTTGCTTTTCCTTTTGGCTGCTTTTTGGGAGGATCCAGCCAGTTCCAGTCACTGAGAGGCAGAAGGGAGAGGGTAAAGAGTGCACATCACCAGAGCTCATCTTAGAATCACTGAGTTTAGGGTTGGAAGAGTCCTCTAGGACCATGGAGTCCAAACATTAGCCTGGAAAGGGCATCCTGGATCCTCTTGGCTTGCCACAACCCCAAACCAGCACTCCTGGATCAGTAGGAACAGCTGAGGATCAACAGCCCCCTGGGTCCTCCCAAGGGATTGCAAATCCCTGCTGCCACATCCACAAGGATTCCATCTCCTCCTGCCATAGCCCAGCACAGCCCTGGGATCCAGGGGCCTGCAATCCAAGCTGCCACCACCCATGCTGGCCCTCTGCTGAGGCCACACAGATGTCATTCTTTCCACCCAAAAGCACCAGAGGAATTCCACCCCCCTGCCTCACTGTGCTGGCAGGAAACCCTGTGGATTTTGAACTTTTCTCTGGGAGTATTAAACAGGGATTACAAACTGGGATCAAGGGAATCTCTCTCTGCTGTGCCCTGTGGGAAAGCTGCAGCTGCAGCCTCTGTAGCCTGTCCTCCCTGCTTTGTGCACTGTGACATACCTGGATGATGCCATGCATGGGGAATGTGCTCCACAGCAATCAGATCTTTTCCTCTTCCTTTTCCTCCTCCAGCACACCTGCCAAGGAAGCAGAAGGAGATCAGTGCTTTGCAGAGGATGCACAAATTTGCCCCTTTAGGACATGTAAAGCCAGTGAGCTCCCTGGAAGCCTGGGGCTGGCATGGCACGGCAGGCTGGCACAGGAGCTTGGCTCTCACTGCTGCACTCCAGCCAGGCCAGGGCACGGATCCACAGGATGCAGCCTTTCAGCTCCACTGCCGTCCTTTGTGTGCTGTCTGCTCACACAAAGCTGGGCCCTCCCAGCCCCAGCCAGGCCAGAGCTGGGCATGGCTGAGAGCCAGAGACGGGCAGAAGGGCTGGGATCCCACTGCTGCCAGCAAAGCCACGGCTCCACGGTGCCTGGGGCTGCACGGGTGAGCTCACAGTGCCAAAGGAGGCTGTGCAGGGAGGAAATCAAAGTGCTGAACCCAAACTTGTCCTTGAGCTGAGCCTTGAAGCAGAATTCCCCAAAATCTTTGCATGTGAGGACCTGGAGGAGCAGGCAAGCCCTGACTAGCTCTAGAGCAGAGGGAGAGCTCAGAGATCCTTCCACTGCACAAAGTGGTCTCCTGAAAAAGAGGGAGAGGGATTTTTAATAAGGGCAGAAAATGACAAGGGGGAATGGCTTCCCACTGCCAGAGGACAGGGTTAGAGGGGACATTGGGAAGGAATTGTTCCCTGTGTGAGTGGTGACACCCTGGCTCAGGGTGCCCAGAGAAGCTGTGGCTGCCCCTGGATCCATGGAAATGCCAAAGGCCAGGTTGGACGGGGCTTGGAGCAAGGTGGGACAGTGGAAGGTCCCCTCCTGCCCACGGGGTGATTTTAAGGCTCCTCAGTGCTGGCTCCCAGCATCCCTGCCCTCCTCAGCCGCCATCCTGGAAAGCAGAGATCCTGCACCAGCACAGATGACAGGCTGTCTCCAGCACAGGAAAACAGGATGAGTCTCCTGGGTCACTGCAAGGTGAGAGTGCAAAGCTGCTGGAGTTTATATTTAAAAAGCCCTGTCCAAAGAACACACAGCATCTGCTTTCGTAGAAATGAACCACTCCTTCAAGAGATAACCAAGTGAATTAGTAACACTGCTTGAAACAAGAAGCCAAACAACCAGGGCAGCACCAATCTGGATGGGCATGGATTGTTTCCCACAGAACTGGACCCCGGTACTGTTGGATTGCACTGCTCTCCATCCCAGCATTTTTTTGTGGGGGATGTAGGATCACACCCAGGATTTTTTTTGTCTTGGGGGCTGTGGGATCACACCCAGGTCACAAAAACTCTGGGTGAATTTTAATTTAAGGCTCAGTGCATCTGCACTGCCCTAAACCCACAAAGCCAAGGCGTGCTGGAAATAGCTCCAGACAAAAGAATCCCGAGCTCTGCCCTGCGCAAGTGCGGTGTGGAGGGAGGAGCTGGCCGGGAGGAGAGGATGTGTCTGTCCCTCTGGCAGCTGGAACCGCTCATTACACCAGCAGGGGAGACGGAAGAAGGCAACTCCCAGTTTGGCTCCCCCTTCCCAGTCCCCATCCCACCGCTGGAGGAGCTCCTACGTGGCACTGTGGGGGCTGGGAGCGCCTCTGCACAGCCTGCAATCGCTGCAGAGCAATCCCAGCAACGCACATCAGCCTGACTGCCACAACTCTGCCCTGCACACAACTGCTCACAGTCACTGCTCACCACAGCCTCCCAAAAAGCTTCCTTCCTTTTCAAAGGATCAAGCTGTTTGCTGACATTTTGGTAGAAGTGACTCATTTGCTGCGTATTCACATCCCAAAGCTCTGCAAGGGCTTTTTGTGGCTCTTACCAGGCTGTGTTGGAGAGACAACAGGAATAGGTTGAAATACACACTTAAAAATCAGGAATAGGTTGAAACAGCAACTCCTGCACTTAATAGCAGGAATAGGTTGAAATATACACTTAAAAGCAGGAATAGGTTGAAATAGCAACTCCTGCACTTA